AGACGAGGGCTACAATTGAGGCCAGTTGGTTATTTTTCGTCCCCCCTCTATCGTAAATTCTATGTTTGGGTAGACGGCGCTGAAATGCTCTTCGCATATTAACACCTGATCCCGTTCAATGACGACAGAGGTATCATCCACAGACCGAGCCTATTATTTCGTCTGCGGTGAAGGAAAACCCCTGACTCAGGTGGCCTTTAGGAGGGAGGAGGGGGGTATACACATCGTGTTGGACCAAACTGTCAGACTTTCGCCAGCCAGATTTCTGCCAACCTTTGCTCCTCATTCCTGAGCTTATTGATGTGCTGTATATCAGTAAGTAGCGTCTCCCGTCGACAGTGTCTATCTTGGAGACTGACATTTAAGAAAAATTCACCAGAATATTGAGTTCACGAGCAAAAACACGTTTAAACTTTCTCAAGCAGCCCAGAACCACTGTGTGTAAAATGGCGGCCTTACAAGTTCCCATCATGTGGAGAGATTGGTTTGGAAAAAACAAATAACTGTTACACTGTACTGTCCTTTTTATGTCCCTCGGAATTCTTTAGCGTGCGATCACTCGTAGGTACTTACGTGTTGCCCTAATGCGGTATTTGGAAATAACTTTCTCTTATCAAGCCCAAGGCATTACGAGCACTTTCGGAATTGGATCTCGTGTGTTTTGAGCACTGAAGGGCATTTTCATAAATTTGTATACAGTATTAAGTTTGGACATCGTATTAGTCGGTGACCTTAGGTAGAATCGTCGTTGGCGCCTCGGAAGCAAAAAGTTTGAACATTCCAATCTGAGGTCAACTAAGCCTTTCGGACACGGTATATTTAACCGAATGATATTAGGTCGGTGTTATTTAGGCTGAGATCCGGACCGACTAAGATGCATGGAGGGTTGACCTTGATACGAAAATCGCGGATCATCCTATGTGTGCAAAAAGTCATGCTAGCTGCGCATGCTGCGTACGCACGCTTCGTCCGCATGCTGCAGAACCGTGGCACACCCTTCCAGGTGCACAACTGTCCGTGAATTTCAAACTACAATTTTTTCATTCACCCTGGAGTAAAACTCGGACCCATGATTATAAAAAAATGCTAAATGTTTTCGCCAGAAGCCGACTGAAGGGGACTGTTGCAAATGAGCATATAAATCTTACCCGAAAAATTGCAGACACACCGAAAATTTTCATCAACGGGCATAGTAACTGTTTATACCAATTAAATTATTCAGACCAGTCTCGGTTTAAGAAAAAACTTTGATGCAACTATCGGTGTAAGTCTTGCAAGCGTAATCATGATATACCAAAATCAATTAAACTTTCAGATGGAAAAGTTCGGAATGAGAATAGCCAAAAGGATTCGGGAAGTTGTAAGATGCTG